GCCATTTCTAAGCAAGCTCCACAAGCTCAGACGTTTGCACTGGGCCAGGGGTCATTTAAAATGGAGTGTGGCAAAATGGAAGACTGTTCTGTGGTCAGATGAGTCATGATTTGAAGTTCTTTATGGAACACTGGGACGCCACGTCATCCAGACCAGAGAGGACAAAGAATATTAGAAAAAATATTAGATGTTGGCACCTCCACATCATTGCATTCAGTTTTTATTCACAATTTGTTTAGTGTCCCAACTTTTCTGGAATCCGGTTTGTGTGTGTGTATATATATATATATATATATATATATATATATATATATATATATATTACAGAAGTGGAATAAAATAGTAGCTTATCAAGTAGTTTTTGATCTACAATAAATAGGATTGCTCAGCTCTTTTATCACTTGAACAATCCTACTGTTTTTTCTTTTCGGCTGCTCCCTTCTTCAGGTGTCACCACAGCGAACTAAGTCGCACGAAGACTTGGCAGTTATTTTTACGCCAGATGTCCTTCCTGACACAACCACAGACCACAGAGCTACCACAGCCTCTGTGTGGAGCAGAGAGCTGCTATCTAGGGCGCCCGGGGGAGCAGATGGTGGGGGTTAAGGGCCTTGCTCAAGGGCCCAGAGTGAGGCAAATGAGGGTGGAGGCAGGTGTGGGTGCTTAACCTATTTCACCCACATTTTGATGTTGTCAGTACTGGGAGTTGAACTAGCGATCTTCCAATCACAGGCCCATCTTCTCTAGTCAACAATCTTCTTACTGTATTTCTGGAGTTTATTACACAGCAACTCATTTGTGCTGCGGTCGCTTTTTAGATTGAGCACTGCAGCCTTGTAATCCTGGGGCTGCCGGTTCAAGTCCAGGTTGCATCAGGAAGGGCATTATAAAACAACTTCCAGATCGTTCATGTCAGTTCCTTCGCTGTGATGACCCCTGCTGAAGGGAGAGCTGAAAGAAACTTACACAGCAACTCATTTTCCTTCTTCAGTTCTGTTAATAGCTGATGTGGTCAACAAACGTATCTCTCACTGATAAGAAGCAGAAGGCTGATATGTTGAACTCTGTTTTTGTTTTCCTCTGCAGGTCAGCCTGACTCGCGCTACATTCGTGTGGAGACGTGTATGTTCATGGTTAAACTGCCCCAGTACACTTCTTTGGACGTGATGCTGGAGAAGTTGCGCTACGCCATCCACTACCGCGAGGACCCTCTTAGTGGATAAGAAGAATTGACAAGCTGGACATTTCCAACCAGATGAACCCAACACCTCACCTCTTACCTATGATCTCATCCTTCCTTCATCCCGTTTTATCTTTGGTGGCATTCGAAGTTTCAACAGCTTGTGTATTAAATTGCCTAAATTTTTGCATTTCATAATTCTTTTTGATGAGTATTCTGTCAGATAATTCAGGGAACATAATCTGAATCAGCACTGAAGCTGCAAATAAGTCATATACAATGCAGTGAATTTGATGATGACATTGAAGGAACACAGCCGTTGAAGTTTTTCTCCTGTTCCCTTCTTTTTAATGTTTGTGGTTGGATCCTGTTGGTGAAATGAACAGCTCAATCGGATAACTTCACGTCAACACTTTACAGCTGCTTATTTAAAGACTGATATAGCTTTTCTCTGAGATGCTGGAGGTGACATTGCCTCAAAGGCAACAGTCAAACACGTCTACTCCAAATGCTTAAGAGAGCCACTTTCCTCTATCTCCCTTGAAGGGATGATGCTCGGAACATGCCTTTGCTGTAGAGAAGACTCTGCTGTTTATGTGCGATGAAAACCAAAAATAAGAGAATAATTTAACATCTGAAAAAAGTACAGTTCCAAGCAGAAACGAGAGATCTGTGCCGATGCCTATTTCTGACTACGTATGCTTTCTGTAGGAGCAGGCAGGAACAAGTGCTGTACAGGATATTGTGTCGTTTTACTGCCTGTTTAAAAAATGACCTGCTGATGAACAAACTACTTTATGCCTATGGAAATTTAATCCATTTTATTAAAGGCTCTGAAGAAAGGCTGTTTAAGTCGTGTAAAAAGTCCTGTTAATCTATTAATCATATTCCATCTACTCAACATACACTGGAGCAGAGAGCAGCCGGGAGTTCTGAGTTCTGCCTTCCCATAGATTTGTTTTAAAGCTGAAAGTTCGAGTTTTTAGTTCACTCATAACCAAATGTTTAGCTGTGTAAAAATGACCTAGATTAAAAAAAAAAAAATGAAGTAAATAGACTGAGATAATGTTTGACAGCAGTTTTTACTTTCTTCTTCTCTTGACCTTATGGTTTAGTATTTTTTTGCTTTGCACTAATCTTCCAAGAAAAGATTCTGAAATGAACAAACTAGAAGATGTCTGCTGGATATCCAGTTTGTTGTCTTGCTACTTTTTATGACTTGGATAATAATCTTGATCACCTTCATCTTGTGCTCGGATGGTTCGTTTCTTCTACACATGGTGACACAATGTTTTCTTGTGTGAGTAAAATTGCCATTTTACTTGGATTTATCGAGTTGCATTGGATTGCTGAGCCTCTTATACGTTTATTTATTTTTAATTTAGTTTCTTTTTAAAGGGTGATAAACCGCTGCTTACGGGGTTGCTCTCTCTGATGTGCTCCTGAAGAAGAGGGGTTACAAAAAGGACATATACATACAAAGAGGTGTTGCGATGAAATGTGTGCTGTACATTTACTTGATATTTATTACAATTATTTATGGTTGCATTAACTTAACTTTTACTGTCTTACCTCTGCACATGAGTAACATATCTAAATGGATTATACAGATGTAAAGAATGGCATTTGAAATTTGTGTGATAATAAAGAAATGTCTTCATGTACAACTGTTAAAAGTCCTGTTTATATATTTTTACACACTACATTTGACCTCAGCAGCGTTATTCAGAGTTGTGTAGATTTGGCTTAGCTTTTTTAATTGTGTCTTGGATTGGGGCTTCTGGGAAAGCAAGTTTTTGGCTTGATCACAAACATAACATAATAGACACGTCATGGTGGACGCTGTTTGTTCATGACAAATTATTCCTGTGCAGGGTGTTGTTTTTGTCTCCTTATGATTGTGTGGCCCCGTGGCTGTTTGCCAACTATAAACCAGGCTCTTTGTGCTGGGTCAAACCAGTTCCAGCCAGATCTGTGCTCATGTTGACGTCTTCTCTGGTAGTTTCATCAGCTTTATTTTGAACCTTATTCAAAGGAAAGTGTGTGTCTTTCTGTGTAAAAAGACAAAGCCGTCATAAGCAACACATGCTGCCTCTTGTAAATCTCAGTACTCTCGAGTTTATTGTGAACCGTTCTCCAAAATGAACAAAAACAAGTGCTTTTTGTAGGGATTCATGTAGTATTAAGTATATGTTTATATATATTTGTAGAATTTTAAAGTTTCAAGGATTAGATTGATTTGTTTCTAAAAAAAAAATGCCTGTCTCTGTTTTGACGCATGCTCAGTAATCCAGGTAGATAAATCTAACAAAGTTGAGTCAGGTCCTCTGGATGGACAGATGTCTCTATTTTTCACACAAAGCCTCATTACTGCCTCTGTTCCCTGTTTCAAAGGGCTAGAAAAAGATCATGTCCTGACCAGCCAGAAGTCTGGACATATTCAAATGATGTGCAGATGTTGCGTGCTGTGACTGGTTTGATAACAATTTTAGAAACTGAAGATCTTTTGAGACAACACGACCACTTAAAAACAACAGAGGGCTGATGCTCAGCTCAACATGTTGTGTCTGCTGTGGCACTGACAGACGGTGAACTCAGAAACTCTTAATAATAAAAATACTATTCTCCGCCATGAAAGTGTGCAAATAGGATAAACATTCAGGTTTTAACTCCGATTACAACAGTTTAATATGAGTAATATTACACATACTAAATTTTATAAATATGTACCACATACACATAAGGTGACTTATTCTGTCTGAATGTGTTTAATGCAATTTTTAACATAAAGTATGGTCCAAATAATAGTTAATTATCGATAAATAACTTCTAGCTAGCCATTAAATATAGTAACCTATTGACTGATTGAAATAATGGCATTGAGCATGCTGTAAGTCTGAAGTTTTGCTAGGAAAATCTGCATCCTGAGTTTGATCTGGATATGACTGACAAAAAGATCAAAGTCTGAGGACTTCACTCGACCTTGGGGTACCCCTCTGACTGGATCTGATAACAGCAGGTCCACAGAATCTATTGATAATCGCCTAATGTCCCAGAACCAGACACTTCAGGACGTCAGCTCAGATGGTGTTTGTGTACGCTCTTACTGGGTCAAAGCTCTGTTGATGGCATGAAGAGGACCTAGTTTCATGGCTGATAGGTCTGAGCATATCATTGTTAAACTAATATTGTATAAAACTATTGTGTACCATTCAGGCCATTTCATGAAACCAAAAACATGTTTTACCTAAAAGTTATTTCCCTATACAAAAATACCATGCAGCATAAAAAGTTGCTTCACAGGATGCAACTATACAGGTGATGGTCATAAAATTAGAATATCATGAAAAAGTTGATTTATTTCAGTAATTTCATTCAAAAAGTGAAACTTGTATATTATATTCATTCATTACACACAGACTGATATATTTCAAATGTTTATTTCTTTTAATGTTGCTGATTATAACCGACAACTAATGAAAACCCCAAATTCAGCATCTCAGAAAATTAAAATATTGTGAGAAGGTTCAATATTGAAGACACCTGGTGCCACAGTCTAATCAGCTAATTAACACAAAACACCTGCAAAGGCCTTTAAATGATCTCAGTCTAGTTCTGTAGGCCACACAATCATGGGAAAGACTGCTGACTTGACAGTTGTCCAAAAGACGACCATTGACACCTTGCACAAGGAGGGCAAGACACAAAAGGTCATTGCTAAAGAGGCTGGCTGTTCACAGAGCTCTGTGTCCAAACACATTAATAGAGAGGTGAAGGAAACAATGTGGTAGAAAAAAGTGTACAAGCAATAGGGATAAACTGTAGTGATGGTAGTATGAAACAAAAGCTTCAAAACATGCTTCGAACCCTGCAGTAAAATTACATCAGAGCACTGCTTCGGAGCCTGTTTTGGTGCGGAAAAAGTCACATGACACGTGACGTCCGAAACACAAACTGCTTCATTGTTGGAATGAATCGCTTGACTGGTTAGCGGTCCAAACAGCTGTTTCCCTGGCACCGCCTTGTCTCGATTCTGACAGGAGACAGGTTGAGACAGTTTTGAATTGAGAGAGCTCAACATTATGAAACGGCTCTAAAATGTTTGCAATGTGTTGGAGAGTAGATGTGTTTCTGCTGTTAGTTGAAACTGAGTAATTATAGAGGCAGCCAGGAAAAGAGGTCGTTCTAACATGTGGGAACACTTCATTCTGCTCATGATAAGGTGGTTTAGGCATTTAAATGTCAAAAAAGTTATAGTAATGTTCAGCAGTGAAGATATTATCTAACCCATTTAACCCATGTATTTAATATAATTACAGTAAAATGATGTATGTGATTTTAATAATCAAATATCAGTATGGGCTCAATTTTATTTTATTTTATTGACATTAGTGTATTTCTGCAGGTGCAGTGTTGGGTGTGTTCAACTGAACTGAAGCATCACGATGCCTCCTCTATGATTAGACACTTCAGCGCCAAACATGGAGATGCTGGAGACGTCATTTCATTGTTATTTTTAAGAATGATAAAGACTCTGACTCTGCCACAGTTACACAAGCACAATACCATTGCAACATTTTTATTAAATCGCTTTAATGCACATTTATCAATCTTTATTCAAAAACATGTAAGCATAAATAAATTTTCAAACCAGACAACATAAAAAGTTGATGAATTTAAAAAAAATCTGTTTTTTTACCACAGTAAAGTAGTTTTTTTTAACACTAGTCATTGAAGTTCTTCAGTGTGTGCCACTAAAAGCAAAATGCCTAATTTGACAGCAGCATTGCAAAATGCTACAAGAGATCACTGTAACTAAAGCTTCAACAAATGAACCTATTTTTTAAACAATTGGCCCAACTGGTTCAATGCTTCATAAAAACTTCATTTGTTCATCACTAGATAACTGCACCCTGGAGAGGATTGTGAAACAAAACCCATTCCAAAATGTGGGGAAGATTCACAGAGTGGACTGCAGCTGATGTCGGTGCTTCAAGAACCACCACGCTCAGATGTATGCAAGACATTGGTTTCAGCTGTCACATTCCTTGTGTCAAACCACTCTTGAACAAGAGACGGCATCAGAAGCGTCTCACCTGGGACTGCTGTTGTGTGGTCCAAAGTTATGTTCTGATTAAAGTAAATTTAGCATTTTCTTTGGAAATCAAGGTCCCAGAGTCTGAAGGAAGAGAGGAGAGGCACAGAATCCATGTTGCTTCAGGTCCAGTGTCAAGTTTCCACAGTCAGTGATGGTTTGGGGTGTCATGTCATCTGATGGTGTTGGTCCACTGTGTTTTCTGAGGTCCAAGATCAACACAGCTGTCTACCAGGATGTTTTAGAAACTTCATGCTTCCTGCTGCTGACCAACTTCATGGAGATGCAGATTTTGTTTTCCAACAGGACTTGGTGCCAGCACAAAGTGCCAAAGCTACCAGTACCTGGTTTAATGACCATGGTGTCCCTGTTTAATTGGCCAGCAAACTCACCTGACCTTAACCCCAAAGAAAATCTATGGCGTATTGTGAAGAGGAAGATGTGATACACCAGACACAACAATTCAGAAGAGCTGAAGGCCACTATCAGAGCAACCTGAGCTCTCACAACACCTGAGCAGAGTCACAGACTGATCGACTCCATGCCACGCTGCATTGCTGCAGTAATCCAGGAAAAAGGAGCTCCAACTAAATATTGATGCTGCACATGCTCATACACTTCATGTTCATACACTTCATGTTCATACTTTTCATGTTCATACTTTTCATGTTCATACTTTTCAGTTGACCAACATTTCTAAAAATCCTTTTTTTAATTGGTCTTAAATAATATTCTAATTTTCTAAGATACTGAATTTGGGGTTTTCATTAGTTGTCAGTTATAATCATCAACATTAAAAGAAATAAACATTTGAAATATATCAGTCTGTGTGTAATGAATGAATATAATATACAAGTTTCACTTTTTGAATGAAATTACTGAGATAAATCAACTTTTTCATGATATTCTAATTTTATGACCAGCACTGTATGTTACATCTGTATGAGATTGTCGAAGCTTGTATAAGAAATTGGTTTAAATTGTACTTTCAATGTCAAGAATTAAAAGGCATATAAATATAAGTTTATTGGAACATTTTAAAATATAAAAGCTGTTTAACAACATGGACATGTTTTACAAAGCAATCCCACTTCAGACAAATTAGTTCTTTATAAAATCAGAATTATTTGAGTTCATAAGACAAGAAGCCCCACAGCCACATACTGTACTCTCCTGTTTGTCATCTCAGTGCTAATGAGAGCTTCAGTCTGGAATGATTCGCTCCGTGGATGAATAAAAGGGTTTAGGGACTGAGGCTGGCGGGTGGAGAGAAAGAAAGAAAAGGTCAAGAGGGCCCAAGTGCCACTAGACGATGCCAAGCTGCTTCTTTAGCTGCTGGAGCTGCTCCATGCTGATGTTGTTGCCGCCACACACAACAACAACCACCGGACCCAGCCGTGGTGCCAGCTTGCCCTCACCCTGCAGCCTTTTGATAATGTTGCTGTACACAGCTGCCAGAGCGGCTCCGCAGGCAGGCTCCACCAGGATCTTCTCATCATCTGCAGGAAGCAACAGGAGAGTTCAGTTTCATGGCTGCTTGTTGTCATTGCACAGCTTCTCAGCTCTGGAGCCAAGTTCACTCACCCACAAAGCGTTCAACAGCTTCCACCGCCTCCTGGTCAGTGACAACTTCAGAAAAAACCATGTGCTCGTTCACCAGTTTGAAGGTCTGCGCAGAAACCCTCACCAGGCCCAGAGTGGTTGCCACACTGCACAGATCAAAACAAATGTCATGAGAGCCAGATGATGGCCTTTCCTGCGCCTGCTTGAAAAAAAAAACGAGGTCCTGTGCTGTATACCTTGTTATGGCTGGTAAAGTGACAAGCTCCCCAGCTTTCACGGCTGCATTGAGGCTGTGTGCTCCCACGGTTTCCATGGCTACGATGGGCACATCAGACCAGCCGGCGCGACGGAGTCCCTCCACCACTCCGTTGAGCAAACCTCCGCCTCCCACCGACAGCACAATGGCTCCAGGCTTCTCTTTAAGGTCACACTCCAGCTCCTTCACCAGAGATGTGTGGCCCTCCCTGAGCACAGAAACAACCTGTCACTTCCTGTTTTAACACTCATGGACAATCTGCTTCATATCGCTCCTGTGACAAAACGTCACTCGTAAAATACATATAAAATGCTTCAAATCTACTCCTTTCTGTTTGTGTGAACTATAATCTGAATGATCTGATCAGAGTTTACTTTAATCTGCAGGTGTTCTGTGGAAGACAGTTCAGGATAAAGCAGGGGTTACCTCTTATGTACATGTTCTTTATTTCTTGGATTCCTGTACAGTCCTGGACATCGCTGCTGGGCAGACAAACTGAAAATGTCTCACCATATGAGCGGGTCATCAAAGGGAGAGACGAATATCCAGCCTGGGTTGTTTGCTACGAGCTGCTGGCCGTGTTCAATACTATCATTCAGAGACTGAAAAATACAAATTGTAACTTTATTTCATTTAGTCTGCGAGTAAAATATCTTTCAATAGCAACAAACTATTACTATTTCTTTGTTTGGATGTGTTCACTTTTCCATGAATCTATCAATACAGCAGATTAAATTAAATAAATTTCAACCAAACCTTCCACATCCTTATGTACTTGGTCATAGGAAGTGAGCAATGGTTGACTTAACAGTGCATGAGTTCACCAACCTTGCCATGAATGATGACGTTTGCTCCCTCGTCCTTCAGCCTCTCCACTGTTCGGTTTGGGGTGACACTCGGGACCACTATGATTGCAGGTACACCGAGCTGGCGTGCAGAATAAGCAGCAGCCATGCCAGCATTTCCTCCTGTGGAGCTCCGAGTCATCAAAACTTCACATCCAGATACTCATGAAAATGCACCCAAAAACAGACGTCTTACCTGAACAGCAGACAAATCGCTCACATCCTCTCTCTGCCCACTGTAAAGAAACACACAGCTCAGCTCCCACTGCAGCAGACACATTTTAACTGGTCCAGGCGGGTTCCTTTGAATTTGTTATCCCTTCCTTTTCTTTTTTCCCACAAAAAGGCAGACTCGTGTGAAAGTACTCACAGTTTTGCAGAGGTGACCGATGCCCCTGATCTTAAAGGATCCTGTTGGCTGAGATGAATCCAGCTTGAGATAAATGGGGGTCCCGGCCACTTTGGTCAGAGTGAGGCTGTGCCTCACAGGAGTGGAAACGTGAAGAGTCAGCTGGGTCCTCATCGCACTACAGGGAAATATTTTCAAGAGGGCAACAATGCAAACAAAACAATGTAAGAGAGATTTCAGCATGTGAATGTAAATCGCTCATGGAAAACACTGAAATGACTGAAATTTCATCATGATTTGTGATACATCCTCAACTTACCAGACACAAGTGGAAAACAGGGAAACAAGCTGATATCAGGAATCCACAGTGCTCTCAGCCTTAAACCACTTGAAAATAAAATGAATATATACCTGGGACTGTCAAAGGAGGCACTTACTTCTGACCAATCAGCTTCAGGCATCCTGACAGCCGGAGCCCTCCCAGTGATGGGACGGCCTAAGATCAAGAATTTCCCTCCTTACATCAGGGTTTGTTGCAGTACCTGTAAAGATGTGTCAGGATCAGGATGTAATAAAAGCTTACCCTCTCTCTGTGCTGGTCTGTTTTGACTCTGTAGCTGGAAAAAAACAGAAATCATAGGAAAGATTCCTGTAGGTTCAGAACAGAGGAACTATTTAAAAGAAAACATTTAACGCGTGTGTTTGACAAGAATCAGTGACATTTTTACTCACTGTGCTGTCATTTGCATGTTGTCTCACCTCTAAAGGAACTGCTCACACCGACACATTACCAAAAGAGTCAGGACTATTTTAGCCTCTCGTCTACAGCTGCCAAAAGTGGGCCACGGGTTGCTTCAGTCTGGACGGTTCAAACCTGAATGATCTGGAGTTCAGGCCGGACAGAAAGTGATGTAACCTTTTGAAAGCCAAGGTAGAATGTGTTTTTGTTGTAGCATTACTTATATAATTTGTTACGTCATCAGAAATAACTTAGGATATGATATGCATGTAAGGTCTTATCACCACCAAAGGAAGGGAAATTTCTAGAAATAAGATATTATTGGTGAGTCTATGTGTACAGGAGTTACAGACTCCGTGAAGTTTGGGCTGGGGTCTTGGGTTTTGGTTAGGCTGACCCAGACCGTTTTCTCTTATGATTGACAAGTGATCAAATGAGAGATAAACTATCTGTAGTGACGCACAAAGAATGTATAAAGTGTCTGCGTAAACATGTAAGGGTTGGCTTTTGGGTGGTTTCTAGATGACCGTATGTTGCTTTTCTGACTGATCAACATTTTGAAGCTCTTTAATAAATCCCCATTTTTGTTGTAATTTAAAGACTCATATTTTTACTTAATAAAGGCTGTTAAAAATCTTATTGGAGAGCTGAAAATATTTGGTGGAAGCTAAACTCTCTTGAATAATGTTTTATTACGGAAGCAGAGTAGATGAAGGCAGTTCAGCCCCCAATTATGCTCATTTTCTTAAAAGCAAACTGTGGGCCCAATTTTATTATTCTGCTATTAACATTTTAAAGTGAAAAATTCAAAGCAAATTTATTTAAATACTGTAGTCTACTTTTTGGTTTTACCAATTTTATCTCATGAAAAAAATAATTTTGCTGCAAAGTGAGAAAGCTTAGCTTCAAGCTTTATATTTTAATTTAGACGTGCTTATATTATTCATTACTGGTCTGACTTTATTCAGTATGAAGAGATTCACTTTGAGGGCGTGAAAGTGAGATTACACATCCCATAATATTGAGTACAGAACTAAATGATAGAGTTACCTTCATAAAACACAGATATTAATTCTTTGATACACTCTGCAAAAGCGTTTTCATTATTTTTCCTCACAGATGCCATGGTTGGTGACTCCTTTAGCTCAAAGAAAAGAAAAAACACTTAAATTTCATATTGAAGTTAAATACAGTATTTACTTGTTATTTGTAGCTCAAATTGTGCAGATATTTGAACAGGCTCATTTTGTTTTATGGGTAAACTTTTCACCTGATTCGTTCCATACAATCTGCACACATTTTGCAATAAAATGTTAGTTAAATCATTAACTCCATTTATTGAAATGTTTTTATTTTATTTTATGTAGTGCAGGCTGGTTCAGTTCCAGTGCACCTGTCAACATTAACAATATTTGTGCATTTTCGGTTCAGAATGTTTCCTATGTAAAAATCTTCTTGCATGTCTTGCTTTTCTTTGTTTGACAGTTTTAATGTCTGATGTGTTTCAGGCAAAACATTCTTCTGCGAAGGACTGTTACACCATCTGCTGGTTGAGACGGACACGAACGAGCTGTAATAATATTCAACACTGACTGCAGAGCAGCAGCTCACGTACTGTATATCCTGACGATAGTGAACAAAATATGATTCACTGCATTCTTTTTATTTTAGTAATAGATCCTTGAGGACTATTATTATTGAATTTGTTCATAGATATATTAAATTATCCTTAATGTTTTAATTAGTTAGGACAAATTTTCATATATTATTGTTTACTAAAGCTTGTCTAGTAGCTCAGTCCTCACCTCCTTCTACAGGTGTGCAGTGGAGAGCATCCTGTGCTCCAGCATCAACGTGTGGCATGGAGGCTGCACAGCTACAGAAAGAAAAGCTTTGCAGAGAGTGGTGAAGGCTGCACAGAAGTATGTTGGAGTAAGTCTCCCCATCATCACAGACATCTACACCTCCAGATTAGAGCTGTCATTTCTAACCCGAACCCGGAGTCTGGCCCCACCCGACTCGGATTCGGACCAGGCCGGACCATAATAATGTGCTTAATGTGTGGGCCGGGTCGGTGTCGGGCTGTTTATTGCGTGCGGCCGACGATCCAATATATGCAAACATGGCTTGCCATACTGCACCTGCTGCACGTGGCCATTTGACCGCGTGCTGATCGGCCTTGAAAGAGGTAAAAAGTTCAGCTAAGCTTCAGATGGACTACTGCCAGAGATCCATCAGCCCAAATGGACGTTCATTCAGCCGCTGCACTCAGAGGATGCACGCAGCCAAGACCCAAACAGGTGAGGTCACAAAATATTCGACATGTTAAAGCAGGGTCCAATGCAGGCAGAAGCAGGGGAAACATTTAATGCAATTTGATGGCTCTTCAGCTCTGATCTTCTGCCCCCTCAGCCGCGTGCATCCGCCAACCATTAATAATAGTCTGTGGTATAAGCAGTCAAAGCTTAATTAAAACGTCACGTTTTTTTTTTGCGTTCGGACCCGTAATTACTGTTAATTTGTCCGAACGGGTGGGGTTCGGAGATGATGACTATGGGCTGGGGCCGGGTCGGTTCGGATTGTGTGTACCCGAGTGCAACTCTACTCCAGATGCAGGAAGAGGGCCACCTGCATCATGAAGGACCCCACTCACCCAGCGCACACACTTTTTGCCCCGCTCCCCTCAGGATGGAGGTTAAGGAGCATTAAGTGAAGAACCACTAGACTGAGGAACATCTTCTACCCTGAGGCTGTTAAACTCATGAATCCCTAACCAGGATAATCACTGAAAAAAATCACATCATGCTGCTGATTTATTTCATGCTACTGTGTTCAGTTGTGCGCATCTGCTCACACAGACTCATGTTCGTGCTGCTGTTTGGTGTATTGTTTTTGTACTACTAGTGCTTAGCATATTTTTAGTCTAGTGTTTTTCTTAGTTCATGTCTTAGATGTTATTACTCTTTTTCTTTTACATTTTAAACTTTTGTTGGATGTAACTGGGACCCTGTGTACACAATTTCCTTCCACCACATGTACCACAAGTGGTGTGTATGACAAATAAAGAACTTTGACTTTTGACTTTTACTAACTTCATTTGTTTAGTAGACAAATTTTGCCCATATTTGCAGTTCATGTCTTAAATACACTGAACAAAAATATAAACACAGCACTTTGTTTTTGTTCCCATTTTTCACGAGTTGAATCCAAAATCAAAGACTTAAAAAAAAAAAAGTATACAATAGAGCTTTTTCTCAAATATTGTGCACAATTTTTTTCAAATCTGTACTAGTGAGCGCTTCTTCTTTGCTGAGGTAATCCATCCACCTGCATATCAAGATACTGGATAAACAACGTGATTATTGCACAGGTGTGCCTTATATAGGCCACAATAAAAGGCCTCTCTAAAATATGCAGTTTTATCACACAGCACAATTCCAAAGATGCTGCAAGTTTTGAGGGAGTGTGCAATTGGCTTTCTGACTGCTGGAATGTCTATGGTTGGAGAATTTGGCAGTACATTCAACTGGCCTCACAATCGCGTGTCACACAAGCACCTGTGTTTGTTGTCCATAACACATGCCTGCCCAAATCATAACCCCACTGCCACCATGGGCCACTCAACTCACAACACTGACATCAGCAAACCGCTCACCCATACAATGCCATACACAGTCTGCCATCTGTCCTGTACAGTGGAAACTGCAACAGCAAACTACAGTCAGGTGAAGATCCCAGTGAGGATAATGAACATGTAGATGAGCTTCCCTGAGATGGTTTCTGACAGCCATCCATTTAACTATCCATTATCTTCTGTTTGTTCTTTAAGTCAGGTCACAAGGTCATCAGCTTGAACAGGGAGGCCAAGACCTCTCTTTCCACATCCACCTCTTCCAGCTCTTCTGGGAGGACCCCAAGGCATTCCCAGGCCAACTGAGAGATGGCGTTTCTACTGCGTGTTCTGGGTCCTCCCCAGGATCTCCTCCCACTCTGACATGCCTGAAGAACCTCCCTAGGGAGGCACCCAGGAAACATCCTTACCAGATGCCCAAACTACCTCAACTGGCTCCTCTCTATGTGGAGGAGCAACGGCTCTACACCGAGTCTCTCCCTAAGAGAGAGTCAAGTTACTCTGCATAAGAAACTAATTTCAAACTCCTGTTTCCGAAATCTCATTCTTTCAGTCACTACCCAAAGTTTGTGGCCATAGGTGAGGGTGGGAATGTAGATCAACCAGTAAACAGAGAGCTTTGCCTTATGGCTCAGCTCCCTCTTCACCACAACAAACCAGCACAGAGTCTGCGATACTGCAGATGTTGCGTCAATTTGTCTGTCAATTTCTCACTCAATTCTTCCCTCACTCGTGAACAAAACCCCAAGATACTTGAACTCCTCCACTTGAGGCAGAACCTTATCCTAGACCTGAAAAGAGCAATCCACCCTTTTCCAATTGTGAACCATGGCCTCAGATTTGGAGGTGCTGATTCTCATCTCATCCATTCCACACTCAGCTGTGAACCCCTCCAGTGAGAGCTGAAGGTCACGGCACAATGACGGCAACAGGACACATCATCTGCAAAGAGTAGGAATGGAAACTTGAGGCCACCAAACTAAAATTCATCCACCCCCTGGCTGTACCGAG